GAGGGGAGGGGAGGGGGAGAGTGAAAGGTAGATTTAATTCCAGGTCCCTGCTGCCCAGGCTCTCAGGAGCTCTCAGTAGTAGCAGGGCCTGCAGGGTTCAGTCTGCCCAGGATATTCTTTCTCTCTTTAGCGGGGTGGGGCCTTAATGAGGCAGAAACAGCAGTTTCCAGAGCCTGTGTTACTTTGGATTTAGCCAAGCAGTCTTAGAGGAAGAGCCAGCAGCTACAGTAGAAGCGGCACAGACTTGAAGCTCCATCCAGGGAAGCAACGTGTGTCCCTAGGCCACATTCACTGATGCACAGCCACACCCCGCTCCACAAGATGACTCCATATCCCAGACAAAGGGGAATTTGTGTTTGTCTGAGCCCAGTGTGCTTCTCTCCTCAGAGATTTCCCAGTTCACATGGGCAGTGCTGAAGAAAATGTTCCCCATAGGCCTCCTAACCACGATAGCTAGCTAGTTTTCTACCGGAATACTTCACTGAAAAAGTACATATTCTTAGACAGGACCACCTCCTTCTTACATCGAGAAGACTCTGGCATGCTATTTGGGGAATTTTCCCTCAGTGTCTTCACAAGTTTTCTTCAACACAGCAAGTGTTTGGGGGCTACAAGACAGAGAACAAATCTCCCTTCTCCGCCTATAGTCTACCCTCCAGCTATGCAGGGTTTCCCAGGGGCTCACTCTGTCCCGTTTCTCATCTCTTTCTTAGGTCTTTCTTTCCCATTTAGCATCTGTTTCTTGTATGGGCCCCTTAGATGAAGGCTTTAGGTACTCATGCTGTTATCACAGGTTTCTAATCGGGCTCTTGTCTCCGGATCTTCTCATTACCCTAATATACAGTATCCCCTGCATGACTGAATGGCAACTGGCCATGCCAACATCAACTATTGCAGTCACCTCCTCAGGGCAAACTCTGAAGCATCCCAATCCCTGCTTCTAGCTTAATGTCCCGTCACAAGTCTGTAATCTCCTGCTACATGACGATCCTCTGTATCCCATGGATGTGTTTTAAAAGCGTAAGGATTAAAGCGATTGACTTACATTCTGGAAAGATGTGAAAATGAATCTAGCAAGGAAAAAAATGGAAACAGTTTTACAAGAAAATACTGCATAAAATATGTCCAACCACATCTGTGCAACAAGATTGCTGTTAAACGTGGCCTTTTGTTCACCACTTTTCTACAATCAGGGCTTTTCTGAAGCAGCGGAGAGCCACTGTTTCCTGGTGACCTTTAAGCCCCGGTGTGCAAAGTCTCTGTTCCAGCACCCCCAGGTGGTTCCCGCAGGAGGTCTGCTTCTGAGGGAACTGACAGCTCCTCAGCTGCAGAAAGCCACAGGTGTCTCTGTAAGAAACCCAGAAACAAAAGCCTGGCTCCCCCACTGTGTGTAATGTTATGAACTCTGTGGGAGAATTTCCTCATGGTTCTTTTCTCTCCTGTACATAATGTATGGTAATGATTGTTCTGCAAACCAAGGCTTATAACATTTTTAGATGCCCTAAACCTTAACAGTCAGAATTTTAGAGCTACATAGACTATTTTATAATGTATTCACAAACCTTTAAAAGGACCCTATCTTCTTATGGTGATATTTTTATCAATGCTGCATTGCACAAAAATATGTCCTGTGTTTCCTTGTTTTACCGATTGTTTTGTGCTATGTCCCAGAGATCGTCATATACATAATACATATACATATACTTAATACGTATACACAGACACATACATAATTTTGATTTAAGACTTCCCTGAGGACATTGTGGACTTCAGTCTGGGCACAGAGGCATCCACTCCTCTTCAGCTTTCTTTATAAAACTCTTCTGTAATCCATACTTCACCTCAGCTTCCTTTGAAGATAGTCCCCTATGTTCTTTACACAGTAGCCCCCGTACCCCCATCTTACTTGAAGTATTATTTTCCATACTTCCCCTTTCCTGTAGTCAACTGTACCCTAAAATGGAAATTTCCAGAAATAAACAGTTATTGTATCTTAAATGTCACGCCACTCTGAATGCTATGTTGGAACCCTGTGCAATCCCCACTGTCCAGTGTATCCTGTGTTACACGCCGCCTACCCAGTAGTCACTTAGTAAGCACCTCAATCAGCAGACCTCTGTAGCTCTGTCACAGTCCCTGTGTTCAGGCAACTCAGACCCACTAGCTGGCCCTACCACGAGGCCCCTAGCTCGAGCCTCCCATCCTCTGATGGGTGGACGCTGTGTCCTTCCACACCGTCACAAGGACGGTGAGACAGCACAAGAGGGTATACTGAGCGAGAAGGCTCCTCAGGTCACTTGTATCACACCCCATGGATTGAATCGCTCTGTTTTATTGTTGGTCTCTTGCTGTGTCTGTCCTACATATTCAATTTGAGCAGCTCTTACACATTCTGCGTTAGCACAGGTATAGGAAAGATGCGTAGGAAAGAACACAGTGTTTTCAGGCTTCCATGTTCTCTGCAGTTTCCGCCTCCACAGCGGCCTCGGAATGTGTCCATCTGGGACAAGAGGACCACTGGAGTTTCCATACTGCTTATGTGCACACCAAACATTTATGTTCTCAGCTGTGTTTATTCTCGCTCACTAATTTATAAATATGAGTATTCCGCAACTGAACCCAAGCAGGGCTAATTTCAATTTTATTAAGTTTGAACTTCATTAAAACTAAACAATCTTTACAATTCTGAAAATTTATCACTGTACATCATTCTTTAAGCAACTTTGGGTAATACCTGATTTAAAACACGTTGATGGTACCATATATGTCCAATGATGTACAAAACTTCTGGAAGCAACTAATGATGTGACTCATTATATGTCACAAACCACACATGGGCCTGTGGCACATGTGGAGAGACGGGAGGAAAGGGTCACGGCCTTGCTCATTGGAAGTGCTAGCTTGCTGGCAGAATTCTGCAATTTGCAAATTCCCCATTCATGAAAGTTTTGCTGAAAAGAAATGCAATTTTGAATGCCTTACTTGAAAAGCCAACTTCTTACATCGCATGTGTAGTTTAGTTTACTGTGGCCCGCAAATACTTCCTTAGAATGTCAGAAAAACTGCTAAGCAAACGTGAAGGTGTAATGAAAAGGGAATCGGAGAAGAAAAGAAAAGAGGTAAAAACCGTTTCCTCCTTTCTCCCCATGGGAACATCTCAGAAAGTGGCTGCAGGATCTCATAAAGCATACGATAGTATGACTTCATTGGGCGAAAGCCATAGTGCCTAAATTCAAAAGGTGGCTATTGGGTTATGATGATGAGTAGAATGATTAATTTTGTTTGTTGTTTTCCATTAAGGTGACATACTTGTTTGATAATGGAGGGACAGTCTTCTTTGCTATTTTTATGGCAATATGGGGTAAGTGTGTTCTTTCATTACCTTCTAGCTTTCGTCTTCTAAGGCTGTGTCTGTGTTTCTTCACACACACACACACACACACACACACACACACACACACAATGTGGCAATGCTGTAATAACAGCTTTTGTTTTCAATTGTTTTTACTTGTAAAGCCTGGTACTTGCTTTGTTTGCCTGTTCATACATTTGCTTCTTCTTTGGAAATTTACTCTTTATCTAATCTTCTAACCACTACAGCCTAGATCTCCCTACACTACGAAGTACTCTTTTGCTGCCCAAGTCACGTGACAAACTGAGAGATGGTCCAATCCACCTTAGGCTCTGTGTATTGTTACCTAGGAAAGTGATGATGAAAAGTTGTCTTTGTTTTATGTCCCCACTCTTTTATTTCCTTATGCTTCATATACTTTGAGATGCAGAATCTATTCCTTATATGACTCGATTCCTTATATGAATCCTATTCTGAACAGCTCCAACCCGTACTACATTCTGAGTGTATGCTTTGGCTGATTTTCACCACATTTCTCATGGAGTGTGGAGGCACAGAAGTAATTGAAATCTAAAATACATTTAGACAAGTTGGAGTCCTTCGAACTTGGAAGACCTCTGAGGAAAGCGTTACTCTCCTGGTTAGGGTCAGGCTTCCCAGCATGAGCCTGTTGAAAGCAGTCGTTGTCAAAGCAAGAATGCCACGGGCTGTCCACGTCTGTACGGGGGACAGAGAAGTAAAATTGGGCAGAGTACAAGTCTCTCATTTCTATTGCTTAATTTCCCAGGAATTGGACTCTGGGCCATATCTTCTTTCTAGCTTTAAATGAAATTTTTTTTAAAATCAGGCATAATTTTTGTAATGTTTCTAATCTTCATTTGTGGTCCTCGAAGGGCAGGTGAAACAAGAAAGAGTCTAGTGCTTTGGTTTTTGTTCAAAAGAGGTGAAATACATTTTGGGTTCCCTATTTTTGCTGAACGTTTTTTGGTCTGAAATCCTCAGGCGCTGCTGTGGCGGCGGGGTCTTTCGTCTGACTCTGCAAATGTTTCCTATTAAGGAAAACAGACAACAGCGTAAATTGCCCCTCGTTATAGGAGCTTCAGCCCAGCTGAATGTCATGAGCAGGGAAGCCCTTGGAAGGACGAATTCTCACTGTGTTTCTGCCACTAGTGTCAGGCTCTCCACAGCTCTCCTGGCCTAGTCTACAAGCCAGTGAGCTTGCACAACCCCCCGGGAGGTGAGAGTGAGGAGTGGCAGGGACAGGTGCACCCCTGCCAGCGGGAACCTCTGCGCCGGTTCTAGACGGCGCTGTGCAGCGGAGGAGGAATGTCACCCATAGGGATGCAGTCCCGAGCACTTTCCCGGCTTTCTGGCACCGCCGAATCATTCACAGACGGGTGATAGCAGCTTGGACTCCCAAAGCCCACGTCGTAAGGTTCCGGCGCGTTGTCTAATCGCAGAACTGAAGAATAGAATAAAATGAACACAATTGCTTTATAGTGACAGATGAAAAATGCATGCGCGGCCGTCTGATTATATTGCCCGATCATAGAATCGTTCCAGATAAGTACGTAGGTAAAACCTTTATGTGGGCCTCTGGGGGCGTTATTTTTGAAATGGTGAAGCAGCAGTTCCGAGCTAAATTTATTTCTATGACTAAAGGACAGTTTTGCTTCCAAAGTTTCACAGCTGGTAGATGCAAAATAAAGGAACTAAGGGAGAGATCATTACAAAAAAGCTGCCAGTGCTTTGCATAAAAATGTACCAATGTATACCTCCTTGATCTTTTAATCTCATGGTTTCCAAAAATGTGTTAACATGTTCTGGATTTGCAACTTCTCATTTAAAAATTATTTGAAAACTAAGGGCATTAAAAACCACAGCTATTATTTTGTCTTTTACCTCACTATCTTGATCATCAAGCCATTTTAGGTGAAGAAGGTAGAAAACAATTCTTGAAACCATGTATCCTAAGAGATCCAAGTCACCATGAACTTGAGTTGCTCAATTTTTAATTTTTTTCAACTAATAAGTAGTTACTTTCTTAATTATCTTGGATTAATTTTCAAAGGCACTCTGGCCATGGCCCGGATAGTTTATGTTAGTACAAGCAATGACTAATAACAAGTTAGAGTGGTGATTTAATAATATTCAGATGGGTATCCTACGTATACACCCTTGTTCCCTAAGCTGCTGGTTTCCAGACTAGGCTTGAAGAAAGCTGAGGTATTGGGAAAGATGTCCCAGTGCAATCCTGAAAAGGTAAGGAGGGTGTTGCTTTTGAGTTATTTGTTATCGGTCATTTGTGACTGCTTAGAATGTATCAGTGTGATCAGCCAAATGTTTGCATGGTGCACGTTATACAAAGTTCTTAGGTTTAATAGTATGTTTAAAAACCACTGTTAGGATGGTGGTTACCTTAATTTTGACAAGTGTCACTTTTTCTTTTATAGAAATTGCTAAAAAGTTACAAACCGAGTTCTGTTAAATTTACAATTAAAGGATTTGGTAATGTATATTAGTAATGTATTAGTCAACTTAACAAAACACGATGGGGCACTTTACCCATGGGACTTGACATGGACAGTGAACTAATTGTTAATTGGTGGGAATATTCCTGGTGTAAAGATGAAAGTAGATTTTTCCCCTAAAGTGTGAAAGAAATAAGTCAAACATCTGAAGTAACTTCACTTCTGTTCTTTTTATCTTACTACAAGTCAAACCTGCAGCTTTATTTTTAATATAGGTATCCCTCATATAGAGATATTCTAGTTGGGGTTTTTTTCCATTATATGAGTAGAAAAATTGTGATTTAGGATCACTGTCATTTTATGTGTGCAAATGCCACTTTTAGCTCCTGGGTATAACTTGCGAGTCTCTAAGGAAGATGGCTGGGTGGATACACTTTTGATGACCTTCCAGTTAGAAAGTCTTTGTTCAGATTTTTGCTACAAGGCTTACTACAATGGCAAGAAATGGCTTTGCAATGATTTGTTAGCAAAACTGGTCATTTTTTAAATTTTATCTTCTTCTTATGTACTTATTTTTTAATTCTGTCATATTTTTAAACTCATTTGGATGCAAGGAGTGATAAGTACAGTGGTTTTAAAATTTCACTCACAGATCCAGAATCATTTTGCTAAGTCTTTAGGCTTTTTCTGCCCTAGGAAACCCTTCTAAGCATGTAACCCTCGCTTAATTAAAATCACCGCGTCCAGTTGAGACTCTGAAATAGTTATTACCTGGTTCGTTTCTGTCCTCATAAAGTCGCCGGTGGGAAAATGAATCTGTTTTCCTCTTTCCACACAAGAAATAGCCCACAAGACTCAGCAGGGAAACACCGAGAATAGCCCCTAAAACGGCCCCGAACACCACTCCAGTATTTCTGTTCTCTGGAGGACAAATGCAATTACAGTTAAGACATAGCAAATAACTGTTTGAAAGATGCAAAGGGAAACACGTGGACTGTTCAGTGGTTTTTAACATTACATAACAGTGACGAGCAGACAGGAGAGTGAGCCACAGTCCCTTGCAATTTGTCTGAAACACATGTAAGTCTTAGCTTTACAGCTAACAACTGTCTACCTGTTAACGTTGTCAGCACTGAAGGGTCAAGTGTATTCTCTGTTAACATCTAGTTTCAGTGTATACATTAGGTTTTTCATAAACCCCAAATCTCTGATAAAAATTTAGTGGTGATGTGAACTTTGAGTTTGTTTCTATAAAGAATTCAAGATTAAAATGCGAATAAGGGTAATACAAAATAAATCTGCAAACTCCCCAATCAAAAGCCATTATATGAAAAAAGCAATATATATATGTAGTATAGGATATTTTCAAATACTAAAACAAAACAAAACAGTAGACTGAGGTAAGATGCTTGCAATGTCTTATATATCAAGGTCTGAGTCTTGGGGCAACTAAAATATTACTATATGTGTTCTTTACAAGTATCTATCAATAAATTACTTGATGCTCTTTGAACTCATAATTAGATAAGGATTCTTTGAGAGTCTCTAATTCTACATAAAACTCCACTTCTAGGAAAATCATTCACATCGGTGTACATAAAATTGTTACTATGAAGGAGAAGCAAACAACAATTTTTGGATGAAAAGTAGTGATAAGAGTAAATTATCTATCTATCTATAGGGTTGGTTATTCAAAGGCAAGAGAAGGTGTTTTTTAAAAGTTCTTTTTAATGGAATGTCACAGTGTGTACAAGTGACAGGGTATGTAAAAGTTATAATTAAATAAAAGTAAAAATATGTAAGAAATTAAAACATTTCTTATACACAAGTGATAACTTTCAAGTAGCAATTAGAGAATATGATTTAGTTTTTATAAATTTAATATATTCTCTGGGTTTATGCATTGGAGGGCAGTAAGTTCATGGGGGTAGTGTTTAACCACTTCAAGTATATAAAAATATAGCTAAACTAGAAAAAAATAAAGCATAAAGGATGAATTCTTAAACTTTGACTCTCATTCTCATTTTGTGTTTCAAAGTTTGACATAAACCTCAAATGAAACATTCGATATCGATATAAATTCATGATATAGCTAAATTCTACTTAAATAATTTTCACTCGATTTAAACTAAAAATTAAGGAGGACTGTCTTTCATTGAGCTTGTCCAAATAACTTTTTAATAGTAGTGTTCTATTCTCTTGTGATTCCCATGTGGTTTCAGATAATTTATAAATTCATTCTTTTTTTTTTTAGTTTTTCAAAATTCAAGTAGGTATAATTTTAAAGTTTACCTTTATAGTAGTGCTGGGAGGATATGAAATTTTGTACAGTCTAAGACTAGGTGAACATCGTCACCAAAGCCTCCCAAATCTGCGTCTCCATCTTTGGCTGACCTCTCCTTCTTCTCATTTTCCCCGCAGGTCTCTTCATCTATGATAATGCTCACTACATGCCCAAGCCTTTAGAGTACTCCACTATTTCCATTATAATGACTCCTTTCCAAATAAGTAGGGTTCACCTGGACTACGGCACGCTCTTCTCTTTTTTTAGAATGGCCACACCCTTAGATTTAATCTCCACAACTTACTCAGAGATTCAATTCCACGTTAAAGGAAAGCTAAGTCCATTTATACTTACCTTTTGGGGAGTCTGATGTACTTGGAAAGAGTTTGGAGTCATTGGTAAATTGTAAGGTGGGCTGTAGAGTTGTGTTTTCTTGATAGGGAGTGAAGCCAGCAAAACTGTCGCCCTCTGTGGTAGGCCATGCAGTCGGTTCCACTGTCAAGGGGGTCGCAGATTTGGGGGTCGACACTGGGGGGAGGATGATGGGGGCAGTGGAACTGTTGTCAGGAATGTATGCGGTGTCATTGTTCAGACTGAAGTCTTCTGGTGAGACAGCCCCTGTAGAATTGGGGTGGGTTGAGACAGGAGGGAAATTCTGGTCCACTAGAGATGAGTTCCAAGGCAATTTGGAAACGAAGCCGTGAACCAAGGGAGGAGCTGTGGAAAACGTGGCTGGGGATCTTGGAGCCCTGGAGAAGTTGATGGTTGTCAAGGTGCTGGTGAAAGTTGCTATATTGGATGGGTTCAAAGGAGGGAAATCAGTTACCTCTGGAAGGGAGACATTTCCGTTTTCATTATTTGAATTTACATTTGCTTCTCTCTCCTTTGTTTTCCAAACTTCTGCAATGCTTTGTGTGGTGTTTTTCTCTAGATTTTCTATCTCATGGCTCTCCAAGGGCAGTGAAATAAGCAAAGTTGAAATCAACACAATTTGGGCCAAGGTTAACATTGTAGCCTTCCTTGCGATATTGGCTTTATTAAGGGAATCTGAAAAAAAAATCATTTGAATTATTAAGTATTCTGAGTTTTCTATGCATCTACACTTTTAAAGTGATAAAAATTTAGAGATGTACTGTTGAGACGATAGTATCAAATTCTTTATTCCAAAAAAGTTTTGTTTTGGGAGAATGAAGTACTTAAACTAGTGTCACTGAGTACAGCTGGCATATACCAGTGATATACCCTCATAGAATAGTTTCTCGGAATGCTTTTAGGGAGCAGACCATATGTCAGAACTGCAAAGGTTTTCATGATGTAGAATGCTTCCCATGACCCAGGCTAGTCACTTAAGTAATGTCTCCTAAGGAGGCAAGCAGGAAGACGCGGATAATATGTACAGCAGTGTGATGGATGCATCTCTAGCCAATGTGTCCGCTAGGTACAGACTGTGTAACAAATTGTGGGTTATTTCTGTGGTGAAAATTAACAAATCGGGGCTTCTCCAGCGGGGTGGACTGTTATGACAACATAAGGCAGAGCTGAGAGTCCAGGCCCACTGTGATTTCATATGCATACAACATGAGCAAGAAGCTTTAATGTTGCCATCAGGAGAGGGCTTCCTCATGGGAAGACAAAGCCAGTAGTGACAAGGAATGGGCTGGAAATACGTTATGGCTTGATGCGATCCAGGCTGTGCAGGTGCTTTTACATTTGTGGTGATTTTCCTTACTTATATTTTATTCACTTTTCTGCACTATCCAGTCAAATTGATCTAGAGACTAAAAATCATTATCATCATTGAAAACTATATCACGATAGGAAAACATCACTGGTTACCTCAAAAGCTTTACATGTGTTCCATTTAATTCTTAGCAAAAGTACCAAGCAAACATCAAGTAAAGGTTTATAATCCTGCTTACTGGTGTCTAATGGGGCATACAGGGTATGAAAGTGGGCCCAAGGACTCACAGCCAGGTGACCGGAGGGTATGTTAGGGTTCACATCCTGGGAGGTCTGAGTAAAGCCTGTGCCATGATCCCTTGGTCTCTTTGGGAGACCGGGTGAGGCTCTGGTGAGAAGACCCACAGCAGCAGATGGCCTCATCTCTGGTGTGGACATTGTCAAGCATTTGCTTATAACCCACGCATCCTCCCATGTACCTTGAGCCCTCCCAGGCCCCTTGTATGCCCAATGCAATTTGAATTCTACATAAATAACTGATCTACTGCATTGTTCAGAGTACAATGAGTCTGTGTATGTCCAGGACAGATGCAGTTTTTCTTGAATATTTTAATCTGCCTTCAGTTGAATCCATTGAAACAGGGCTCAAGGAGACAGGGACCAATACTGCCCTCTTCTTTATAACAGAGGTTGCAAAGGAGTCTAGAATTCGGTACTTTTCCCACCAACATTCTTTTAAGCACAGCCAGTCCAAATTTAATCACTTCAAACAGAGCAGTTTATAACCATTCTTTCAAAACCCCAGAAATACAGGGAGTTTTATCTTCAGTACCTCTCAAATATACAAAATACCCATTTGCCCCAATTTAGGAAGTCCCACCTATTTCTGTGGTTTCTCTGTGAACACTGCTTCGGTGGAGTTTGTAGATTCATATTAACAAATCTCAAGGGCTTAATCAGGAATATGGCTGACCAACACTTCCTTTAGGCAGGTACTGCCCCTAGCAGGTGTAACGTACAGTGCACTACAGCATGAGGATGGGTGTGTGTGCTTTTCTTTCTTTCTTTCTTTCTTTCTTTCTTTCTTTCTTTCTTTCTTTCTTTCTTTTTTTTTCTTTTTTGGTACTGGGGATTGAACTCAGGTCCTTGTGCTTGCAAGGCAGGCCACCGAAACGCTGAGCTAAATCCCCGGCCCCTACTAATTCAATCTTTGTCTTTTTTGTTTTTTGTTTTTGGCACCGGGGATCAAACTCGAGTCCTTGTACTTGTGAGGCAGGCGGTGGAACCACTGAGCTAAATCCTTGGCCCCGCTTTTCCTGGAATTTCTTTCTCTGCTAAACTCCAGAGCTCCTCACAAACACGGCCTTCTTTTCCTCTGTCCATCGCTGGTGCTCTGCTCCCTGGGTAATATTTGGTCACTCTTTTTCTGTGGTTGTTGCATAGGTCGATTTGCTCTCCCTAAATCTGGGCACTTTATTTCTTTTCCTAAAGAGTGATCATCATGAAAGAAAAATAGTTGTTCTAGATTTCTTTTCAGAGCCAGGTGAGGAACGGGGCCTTGCTTTTTCACGGCCTTCCAGTAAGAAGAATCCACACACCCGAGTCAAGACAGTGAACTCTGCTGTTCCTGCTTGACCCTGCCTGAACACTGAACCACACAGGGGATTTCTCATTCCTCTGCGTCGCTTTTGATTGTAATTTGAAAACCCCCCAAATGTGCCAAGCATTCTATGACTGCCTATAATTTATCTCCTGAGGAAAACAAAGACAGGGAGGCAAGGGATGTACAGCAGTTCATCTGGGTAGTGTTTACTGTTTGTTCCGGGCTGAGTTACTCCTGCCGTCCTGATTTTATGGTAGAGGCCTCCTACAGCCATTCCTTGGCACCTTTCATCTTAGAGGGGAAGAAGCAGCCACCGGCTGAAGCCGTCAACAACTGAAAACTGTGGTTCTGAAATTTTGTGGGAGAAAGGGTCAAGTGATGTGGATGAAGTGGGTCTTTATCCTGAATCGAGCAAAATATTATCTGCAGCGAGAGCTGCTGCAGTGGTTCTGACGGCCCACAGCACCAGCAATGAATCCTATGCATTTTTTCCCCTTTGTATTCTCTCTTCAGCTTCTCTACATCTCTAGAGTTCAAATATTAAAGAGTGCTGTAGACAGTGATAGAACGCTGAAATTATGGTGGAATCCGAATGGCAGGCTTGAGAATGCCCAGATTCCTGTCAGCTAAGAGCCCTGTGTGTACAGACAGAAGGAGAGAAAGGAAACTGAAATTTTAGAGGGGGAGAAAGAGAGCAAGAGGCATCAGTTTTCCTCCTGCTCTTTGCCTCTTCTTATTCCTACGAAGCAGCAATTAGGGGGTGTAAACTCCACAGGAATTCTGGAGGTGTAACACAGGGGCACAGCTATGAACGGTAGAAGTTCAGACACGTCTAAAATTATGTGCGGGAACAAATTCTGAATGTGATCAATATGTGTGACAAACATGTACTAATCAAAAATAAAGTTTGGAAAGGTAGAATTATCATGAAGAGGAGAGAAAAAAAGATTTTCAGCTACTTTATGATATCTGAAATACAGATTCTAAACGTTCATGTATATATATTTCTGTTGCTTTTTAATATTTAAGAACTTCTAACATGAGTACATGAATGAGTTAAAAGGTCTAACAACTTTTAACATTTAAGAACTTCTCGACATGAGTACATGAATGAGTTTCGCTTTTGAACAAGTCCACACAGAGACAATGAATACTGTTTTCTCCCCTTTCTTTGGCGTTGGCACTGAGGGTGGTTGCTCGTTCCTGCTTTTGTGTGGAGGACGGAAGGGGGTAATAGTAAGAAGAGACGCCGGCCACAAAGCACACAGACCTGCATCCAGAGGCCCCTCCTCCCTGCTCTAACTGAGTCATGCCCCTTTTATACCAGGCTCTGAGAACAGGGAGAAGGGGCCCTGATTCCTGACAGGCAGCTGGGCCGTCCAAGGAGAAAGAAATGATGGTCACTCAAACCCATACCACACAGAAATTGTCAATGAATGCCAGTTTGGTTACTCTGAGGGGAAAATATAAGAGTGGCCTTGTAGTTGAAATGGCTGACATGAATACATCATCACACCCTGTCGCCCAGTTACTTTTGATCATTTCTTGCTACAGCTCACAGGCTATTTGTTGGTGCTGTTGTTTGGTTGTGACTGTTGATCACACAAGTCCAGTCTGCCAGAGATGCACTGGGCATACCCTCCACACGAGAGTCATCATTCTGAAAGGCCTCTCCACGCCTGAATAGTATTTTGTTTTCTCTACCTCAAAGAATCACGCTAAGTGAGGGCATAAGAAATTGTATTTCTAAAAATGTGACTCTACCAAAAGGATTTTGACAGGTGAGAATCCAGAAAGCCCGCCTGTGCCTGAAAAACTTACACCTATCCTTTCACTTTTCTTTGATTAAAAATGCAAGAAAAAGGAAAGAAGAATGACTTCCCTTCAGGCAAAAAAAAATAAAAATAAAAAATAAACAGTTCCAAAACATTTGCCAATATCATTCTAAGTGAAAGACCTACATATGCAGGAATCCAGGAAAAACAAACAAAATGCAGTGCAACCTGCTGGCGCAGGCGATTCTGAGTCATAAATTAGTGGATGATTGTCCAGCTCGAAAAGAATGTGCCTCCGAAAAGTGTTCTGGGTCTGAGTGCGCAGGCACCGGGTTTCAGCTGTGTCTCACTTCTCGGTCTGTGTGAACAGCCTCTCCTGTCGGGGTCAAATCGAAAGCCGGTAAATGAGAACTTAGCGAAACTTTAAAGAAAGGAGCCTTCTGCCCTCACAAACTGAGAGCTGCTCCAGAAAGCCTTGCCCACGTCTTCCTTCCATGGCTGTCTTCTGTGGTGACTGATTCCGCATTTTAAATTCCTGGTGAGCGTTGGAGTTAAACACTTGTGATGCTAAGAAATGGATCATGTGTACATTTTTTTTTATTGAAAATATCTTTGAAAAAGAAGTATACAAAGAAGTAATTCATTTTAAGTGAGTGTTCTTTTTTAAAAAAAAACTTTTATATTCTAATACTTAAAATAAGAAACTTTAAGCCCAAATTCATAATTTAGATCTAAGTATTAAATTTATATTGAATACGTTCCACTTTAAATAGTTTGATACCGTACTGCAGCCTGACTGGGAAATTCTATATTGTAGTCACATAAATTTTAAATAAGACTTTCTTTTAACTCTTCTGCAACTTTTATCATCTAGCGACTGGCAATAATTTTTGGAGTTGGCTCATTTAGCAGGGAAAATGCTCATTTAGAAGGCAATTACTTAATGAACAGCAATCTCTTTTTACCAGGGTCTCTGTAGCTACTTGCCAGACAGTTTTGTCGGGGGGGTTGAGGCTACTTTGATTCTCTTTGGTAACTGGGTGGGGAGAGGAGGAGGAGAGAGAGAGAGAGAGAGAGAGAGAGAGAGAGAGAGAGAGAGAGAGAGAGAGAGAGGGAGAGTGCTTTAGTAACCCAGCAGGCACAACAAACACAGCTTACCTTCAGGACTAGCAGGTGTTTCTGGATGGGAACTGCGCGGAACTGCCCCGTGCTGGTTGTCTTGGTTGGCGCATAAGAGAAAAGAAATGTGTTCAGTGTGACTGTGTGGCTCAGAGCAGCAGGGTGCAGAGAAACCAAATTAGGTGGGGCGGGCTGCCGTCTTGCTTGTGTAATAGAGCACCCAGAAACCAGACAGACCTGCTCCTCAGCCTAAGCAGTAGAGTATCACCTCATTCAGGCCTTTAACAAAAAAGGGAAAAAAAAAAGGCCAGCCCTCCAGTTTTCATAGGTTGGTCTGGGGCAGGCTAGTTCTTCACAGTGGGGGCAAAACAAGGGCATCCATTCCTTGCCCCAAGCAAAAACCGGACTAGACTTTGGTGACTGCCTAAGGTGCAATCAGAAGGCTCTGAGAAGCGCTGGGTTTCCTTTCTGCTCTTGGAAAACTGAGGAGCTGGCCCTGCAGCTGTCACCCTAAGCCAGCTCCCTGCCTTCCTCACTCTGGAGCAGATCTTTCAGTCCCTTAGTAGGTGGCCGTGCCTGTGCACAAAAAAAAAAAAAAAAAAAAAAA